AAATTTTCTTTTGAGGTCTCAGCTGAGTCTTGAGCTTATTGCTGAGTTGGATTCACCACATGAGTGCACATTCCCAGAAGCCTGGGTGTTCAAGTGTGTGTGTTCGCTCGGTGTTCCGATTGGTTCTTTGTAAAATTCCGGCTTGCCAACGGCTCTTCATGTTGAGGAGCTTGTTCAACTCCTTGAAGCTTGCTTGCTTGGGCGTTGGTCATTCGTGTTTTTTCGAGTATGTTCTTGTTGAGGGGGTCGGCGGCCGGCCGTGGGCAAGACAGCCTTGATGATGGCAGCTTGCGAAGGTCATAATGTCAAAGTCGCCAACTTGTTGCCGGAGGCTGGCACCGACGAGGATTCGGCAGAAACCACAGGTTGGGCAGCTTTGATGATGGTGGCTGACGAAGGTAATTTCGAAGTCGTGAGATTGTTGCTCGCGGCCGCTTCCGACAAGGATGTGCAAGCAACCTTACGGCTTTGATGATATCAGCTACTGCCGGGCATGCCGAAGTCGTGAACCTGCTGGCGATCCTAGCTCTGTCATATCTATCGCGCGTGGCATTCGGAACCGATGCACTCTCTCGAATCCCGGGCCTTGAGCGCAGCCCCCCCTGACCTCCACTGCCAGACTGCGGTGGAAAGGCTTGAAACACGCATTTTGCGGCGGTCTGGTGAATGAGTCCTTTGGAGAGCCCAACTCTGTTTGGAGAGCTTTGCTTGCAAGCCTGACTTTCTGAAACTGAAGGTTTGCTCAAAAGATCTGTGAGCAGTGGTATATGTACTGTACGTGCTCAATTAAGTCTGCCAACTAGTGTTATATTTCGGTTATAAGTTGTAATTCTACATGATATTTTTAATCGGAGTAACATGTGTCGGGAGAGCTCCTACGAAGTCGGGCGACCGGAGCAGTAGTCGCATATCTCGGAGACATGCCCGAAACAATGCCAGCAGCATGCGGGAATTCTCAGGTCCCGGCTAATGTTGCGATGCAGTATTGGCAACCTGCCAGCTAGGTGCTTTTTGTAGAACAGAAACAGATACCGAATTTGCTAACTTCCAGATGGATATCACAATGGAGACCTCGATCACAACCGCGAGGACATGCTAATGGAGAAGTTCCAGCAACTGATTGTCGATCTTGTTGTGGCCCCTTTGCTGAAGAGATGTTTCCAGATTGCTGTGGGTGAAGACCCGACACCCCAAACTGGAGGATGCAATATGTTCCCCAGATCCGAAAGTCGTCCAGCGCCTACGCAGCATTGCTGCACATATTGGGTCGAGTTCTGCGCTGCATGTCGCGAACATGCAGATCCTAGCCATTCAGGGGGGCGTCTGATTTTGGCAGGTTTTGAACTTACAGTACAGTATGTCTGGCTTTGATGAAGATGCCTGAAACCGAAGAGCTGTCGCACGATTTCGCTTTGTCAGTCCACCTCAATCCTCAGGCTCATCCATGCTGCGTCGATTCACGTTTCATACGAGCCCGCCCAGAATTCGCTGGGTCACCTTGGATAGGTCATCGACCCGATGCTGAAGCACTCCTGCAGCAGAGTTGTGGCAAAGGCGGGGGGTGTGCGTACCGGTTAGCTTACGTGTGTATGTGTTCGTGTATGCATTGATACATCTATAACCATATATACCAAATTCACAGTAAACTGCTGCGCACAATGTGGTATGTATGGCGCCCTCGCAAAGCGAGACCCTCTTTCTGAAACGAACTTGTCGCATGGACCCAGGAAGCTAACCTTGCAGTCATGATGGGTCAGCGGATAAAGCCCGTAGCACGTAAACTTCGTTTATGGTGTCCAGTGTGGTCGGTATGAAGCTGGCCCTAACCCAGTGTCCCAGATTGCTTGGGCGGAGGTTGGGCGTGGCATGGTATTGTGGGATGCAACGTCCATGCCGCTTGAGATGCGAAAATGTGTTCTTCAGATTTGCTGGTGCTGCCTTTCAATATACGGCTACATAAGTTCAATAATTCAAGTTGAGGTAATTAGATGCCCAGGCATGCTAGGCAAGTTGGGACACGAAGCTACTGACAGTGGGAGGGTCTACTGGAATCCGAGTGTCGTTCTTCAGGAGAACCGGGCCGTTATACTGGTGCAAGTAGATCAGGTATATAATCATAAAGACAATGTTTGAAGAGTCAAATCTGTTATTTGCCGTGAGGGGTGTGGATGTAGACTTGGGGTGGCGTACAGGTTCCTGGTTCCAAAGTCACTGGAGCTATGTCAACTTCTAGGGCTCTACACTTGTTTGGGGCAGCTTCTGCGACGGTGTTGCCTGTATCCAAGTTCGGGCAGTTTGAAAGCGGAACTTCCCCTGAGTTCGGCTGGAAGGTTCCTGTTTCTACTATCGGGTATTGCTGGCGAGGTTATGTATGCGCACTACTGTCATTGCCGTTATCCGTGCAGAAATACACCGGTTAAACCGCAATTCGCATGTTTTATATATACCCGGCTCTTGTTGCAGAATGCCCAGGACTCCCTACAGGGACGACCCCTTCGAGTCGAAGGCCACAGAGTACCCGCCAATGGCTGAAATGTTCTTTCTGGGTGGTTGAAACGACGTGAGGCAACACTACGCCAACTCGAAGCATAATCTGATCAACCCTCAGCAAATCTAGAGCTCAAGAAGGACGCGTCACCCAAAACAGGTCTGAACACGGTGCCCCTTCTCCGGGACTCTAGGCAACTCTGAAGCCTGCAGACCAGGAGGAGGAACTTGGCATCGTCGAAGCTGTGGTTGTCGTCCTTTCTGATGTTCATGTGATGGTTGCTCTTGCTGCTGCTGGTGCTGCCACTAATGTCCGACGCTGCCATTGCGACGATCAGTTTGATCTTCGTGTAGAAGAATATGCTGACAGTGTTCTAGTACTAGTGCTACTCATAATCATAATAATTGTGATTACTACTAGCACCTCCTCCACTACTACTACTACTACTACTACTACTACTACTACTCCCACTACTAATACTACTAATACTACGACGACGACTACAGCTACTGCTACTCCTGCTGCTACTACTACTACTACTACTACTACTACTGCTACTACTACTACTGCTACTACTACTGCTACTACTACTACTACTACTACTACTGCTACTACTATAAAGACGACGACTACGAGTAACTACTTTTCCTAACACTACGACTACAACCACACAGACGACAGCGACCACGCCGTCACCGCCACCACCACCCACCACCACCCATCACCACCCACCACCACCCACCACCATCCACCACCACCCACCACCACCCACCACCATCCACCACCATCCACCACCATCCACCACCACCACCACCACCACCACCACCACCACCAGCACAACCGCCGAACATCGACGACGAGCAAGATCCTTCACCCTCGTCTCGCCGTCATCAACATCCCAAAGGAAGAAGAAACACCGTAAGCACGACACGGCATTCAACTTTGGAGTTCATGCCGCTAGGTATCCATCTGAAGACGCAGTTCGTTGTCGAGCCTAGGGCTTCGACTTGGAGATCCAGTTCGCGGGCAGACTGCTCAGAGGCTTCCTCAGTGCTTCCGGTAGCGTGAGCTTGGGGCTTTAAGTGTCCTGAGAGCTTGAAGCTTTCCGTTGGCATAGCGCTTGAAACGTCCACGTGCAGCTGTCCAACTGCGCATCGGCAGCTGCATCTGTTAAAAGCAATGTTACCAAACACCTTGCAACTGTCCTTACAGGGTTTCATCATGTTTCATCTTTACAAGCCGAAGGGTTACAACATTTAACGAAAAAAACAGCCAAGCAGCCGCCCGGCGCCAGGCGATGTAAGCCTGGCACGAGAACTAATTCCTGCCGTTCTCACTTTTTGAGTGTATTTCCTACCACTAAGCAGGAGCTTTGGGTTCGCAGTGCAGGCAACCGACGGGGCTCTGTACAAACAGAGTGGGCTGGAAGGAAAAATGTCTGCAGTTCCAGGGTTTCTTGTCGGGCACCTGCACTCAAACGTGTGTAGGGGTAAACATGGATCAGCTCACATTTACACTGATTTCCTTTCAGCCCCCGTGTCTCTCACTGTCTCTGCTTGCATCTTCGAGTTCCTATGATGGCCCTCGGGAAGTAAACCCTCGCCTGTCTGGCGACATCCTCGTGCTGCACACCGAAGCGTGTTGCCTGCGTGGCCCGGCCCTCGGGCAGGGCGAGCCTCGGATAGGAAGTGTGTTCCCATAAGATTACCACCGCAGTAGTCGCTACAGTATAGGATTCTTACAAGCACGGCTGTACCATTTTACCAGTGGTGCAAGGAGAGGAGGGTCAGAAATACTCGAAAAAGACAGCCATGGCGCATGTCGGCAACCACCACCTTTCGGTTGCTTCGTGCGCCAGGTGCAGAGCAGGCCGCTGCGAAGCGGGAGGCGGTCACCTATTGAAAATCAGGCATGGGCAGGTGCCTCGAACAAAAACTGAACATCCTGAGCGTATCTCGCTTGATCGAGATTCGAGCAGAGCGGTGATCTCTGCTCAAGTGGATGATGTTTGGCGAGGGCAGAAATGCACGTGTAGTTTGTGAGTCGATCTTCTGCCACGTCTAATGCTCCTTCCGTGATGTCATCTGCGGATTGTAGCTGAACAACAACAGAAGTTGTTGGTTGCTGCATGTTGCTTCCATCTATTCTACCTTGTCGACATGTTTCAGCAGGTATCTACACGTTGCCTCTGAAAGCCCGTGAATGCAGCTCGCTGCTCAACATGCTTCCCCGGCACTCTGTTTCTTCTTGCATCGATCCAGCTTGGATGTGCCCGGCCATCGGGGTAGCGCTGCGGCATCTTCCTGAGAACGGATCTTCTGGGGTGGGCTCTTTTATGGTTTGGGGCAAGTTTGGGGGTCGCAACCCAACTCACACAGGCAGACGTGACCAAAGCTGTTCGGTCTCCGCAGGATTGAAGATGAGGGCTTGCAGCGGTGAAACTGAAGGAAAGGCGGTCTGGCCAGGCCATGCGCACAGAAAAGCATGTTTGAGTTGCTTGGCAAGGATGCCACGACACGACTTAAGAGCTCTCAAACAGTTTCGAGTCTCTTAACGAGCAGAGGGTCAGCAGCCTTCCGACATCCACCTCAGAGACTTGGAGGCTGGCGAGTAGTTGCTCTCGCACACGCGCAGGTGTGGTGTCCAGCTCCTGAGGAAGCCAAGTTGCTCGCCAAAGGATTGACCCACTAAGCAAGCTCTCAGAAACAAGCGAAATCCTAAATCCGTGGATCGCTGGTTCTTGAAATTCGGGACGGTAGGACATTGGATACATTCCTAAGGTCTTAACTTCGTTTCACCTATGCCAATCTATGCCGTAATACCGAACCCGACTAGTCATCATTCTGCATGCTTCATCCACGGCACATCCCCCTCTGCCTCTCCAATGTCTGGCTTCTCAGCATCACGGTCGGAAGACGGCTCCTCTGCCGCGGATGAGAAGCTCTGTCAAATTTGGATGTGCACTATTGAGCAACCCATGCCTCAAACCAACAACGCAGCATCTGTCTGTCGGCCGGTCTGTCTCTGTCTGTCTTTCTTTCGTCAGGGCTAGGGGCAAGGGGAAGCTCCCTCTCTGTCTGTCTCTGTCTTTCCCTGTGTGCTCTGGCCCTCTCTGTTTTTCCCTGTCTGTCTCTGTCTTTCTCTGTCTGTCTGCTATGTCTGTGTCCGTTTGTGCCGGTCTGTGCCTGTCCGTGTCTGTCTGCGTGTGTCTGCGTCTGCCTCTGTCTGTCTCTGTCTGCGTGTCTGCGTGTCTGTCTGTCTGTCTGTCTGTCTGTCTGTCTGTCTGGCTGTCTGGCTGGCTGTCTGGCTGTCTGTCTGGCTGTCTGTCTGTCTGTCTGTCTGTCTGTCTGTCTGTCTGTCTGTCTGTCTG